ATTAATGGAGAGCTAGCCCATGTTCATGGATCAGAAGACTTAACATTGTTAAATTGGCAACTCCCAAATTAATCTACAGATTCAATGTCATTCCTATCAGAATTCCAGCTGGCATTCCTAGGAAGAAATTGATGAAATGATTCTAAAATTTATGCGGAAAAGTGAAAGACACGGGGAAACCAAAACGGTACTAAAAGGAGCAAATTTGGTGGACTTACATGTTCCAATTTCTTTCTTTCTTTATTTTTAATTAAGTTTATTGGGGTAACATTGGACATGTTCCAATTTAAAAACTTAAAACAACACTATAGTATTCAAAATGGCATGGTGCTGGCAGGAAGATAGATATACATACCAATTGAACAGAATTAAGAGTCCGGTTATGCTAAGTGAAATAAGTCAGAGAGAGAAAGGCAAATACCATATAATTTCATTTATATGTGGAATCTAAAGAACAAACAAAATAGAAACAAACTCATAGATACAGAGGACAAACTGATGGTCGCCAGATGGGAGGGGATTGGGGGCTGGGTGAAAAAGGGGAAGGGGTTAAGAAGTACAAATTGATATTTGGAAAATAGTCAGAGGGATGTAAAGTAGAGCACAGAGAATATAGTCAATAGTATTGTAATAACCGTGTATGGTTCCACATGGGTAGTAGACTAATCGGGGGACCACTTCATAAATTATATAAATGTTTAACCACTACAGTGTACACTTGAAACTAATATAAAATAATATCGAATGTCAACTGCAATTGAAAAAGAGAAAAAGAAAAATCATGTTGTTTCTTGTGTTCCTGACAAAATGTGTTTTTCTCAGCTTGCCCAATTCCAAAATCTCCTATAGCTCAGCAAAACAAATTACATTTGCAATCATATGTGACTTTTCAGCACACTGTATATTCAGGAAAACCGATGAATAGATTAGACTATACTTGTGAGTTTCCCCAAGCGTAGCACTCCCCTAAACTGCTTTGTCTTTTCGACATTTGACTAAATGTTGGGGACCTCTTTCCATTTTGGCAGTAGAATTTCCCCCTTCCTTGTCTCCTCTCCCATCCCCGACACCCATCATTTGTTCACTTTTACCATAGTTCCAGTAGCTCATCCCAAAGTCCACTCTTTAAACTCTTTTCCTTCGAATATTCCTTCTTAAGTTACTCCTGAGTGGTGAAAAGGAGAAAGTACCAGCAAAATACTTCACTCTAGACATTGACTTAGTGGACCTTTATAAACAATATAACAAGTTTGGAAATTTTTTAGTACCACCTATAGCTTTTTTGCTTTTTGACAGAGAAGAAGTGGTGTAGAACATTAATCTGACCTTAAGTTTAAGGTATGTCACTCCCACAAATGACATAGGACATGTTATTTATTAACACCTAAGAAAGTCAGATATATTATGTATGTCTTGCCAGAGGCTGTTATAAAATGTTTTAAGGTTCCATCTTTGATTATAATTTCTGGCTGGTAGAAAAAATTCTATATACTATAAAAAACTAGATTTTGCTGCTTATTTGTAGAATTACAACTTATTTTTAAAGTTGTTCAATAAACGAGATTTTGAGTACAAGAAAATTTTTTTCATTTTGATAACAGAAACTCCTTGATAATGATGATGTTTTGATCATAGCTCTTATAGTACTAATTTCTTCCTCCCGCATACATCCTAAATGTTTTGTTTATACTGTTGTACTGCTAATGCGAAGTTCACCCTAAATTAAAGTGTGGCGATGTCTGTTTCCGCAGTCTGACCATATCATTGGAATGCAGCTATAGTGTAGCAGGAAAGATCAGTGAAGCTGATATTAGAATACGTGGGTTACAGTATTTGATTTATTTGTTAGCAGATATGTGAATTTACAGTCTTAATGATTCCTGAATTACGACATAGGTTTTTATGCTGCTGCCAAGTGTGAAATAGTTTGAGACATGGATCGGAAAGTCAAAATATATGATCTGGACAGAATTTTAGTGAGTATGGAGAAGACATGATAGAATTCTTGAAGTGGAAACTTTTGGAGAAAAGGTCATAATAGACGTTAATAAATTATTTAAAGTTCCTGAGACTCTGTTGTCTCATATACAAAATAGCTATGATGTGTATGTCATAGAATTAAGGATTAACTGAGATATTATATGTGTAAGAATGTGATTCAGTATCTAGAAAATAGATGATGTAACTGTTTATAGGTTCCAATAGTCCCTATACCCCCTACTCAACTCTACGATCCCCTCGACGAACCTCCAAAATTCAACTATCTTTCAAAAAACAGCCCCAAAGGCAGCACCCTACAAAGGCCGCCCCAACAACTCAGTCAGTATCGCCCTTTGGTTAACAGTACTGGGATTCTGGAAGGAGAGGAAACTTGCAACTTTAAAATGAGGACCGGTGTTTAGCAAGTTCGTGATGTTGGACAGGTTCGTTATTTTCTGTTCATGCAGGTTTTCCATGTGTAAAATAAGGTGATCACAGCACATGTTTTGTAGGGTTGTGAAGTATTAAATGAGAAATGTACATAGTCTCCTTAGGTATGACAGTCCTCTGTCATACATGGTAGGAATAGGGATAGTAATAGAAAGTTTTCGTCTTCAGTAAAATGTTAATAAAAGGGCATTCCAGTGTGTGGCCAAGCTGGGATGCTAAAGCATTTTAAACAGTAATGCTAAACAAACTTAAGAAATCGGTATCTACCTTGAGATATTTGGGAGTTTTAGCCTCACTTTTAGAGAATATATTTTCCTTACACTGCGGGGGGCGGGGAGGGGGAGCAACAAGAGTCAGCGTTAATGAATAGGAAGTAAAACCAGCAGTTAAGTCCCTCGGATACAAGTCGCAGAGGACCAAAGAGCAGTATTAAGATCAGCAGGTAGAGAGCGCACCTCGATAAACCCATGGAGTTCAAGTGCAACTCCTGGCTGCATTTCGAGCCGCGCAAGCGTACACCGCTTTGCTCCTCTCACTCGTGTCCGCGCCTCTAAACCCGCACCCCGTGCGCCCCAACACGCAGGCGCATCTCCTCAAATGCTGGCCCTACCACACTCCTCTTTCTCTCCATTTCGCTACCCCTCCTCTTCTAGCACCCAGCAGGTTCAAACTGTTCTACGTGAGGGCGGCGATTGAGAGGGTCACGTGATGAGCATCCTGCTGCCCAACATGGCGGAGTTCGACACCATCTCGGAACTGGAGGAGGCGGAGGAGGAGGAAGAGGAGGAAGAAGCGGCAACGTCGTCGTCGTCTCCGTCGTCGTCGGTATCGGGGCCGGAGGACGACGAGGAAGATGAAGACGAGGAAGAGGACGAGGAGGATGTGCCGCCCCCGCCTCGCGTAGTGAGCGAGGAGCATCTCCGGCGATGCGCCCCCGACCCTGTATTGGTACGAGGCGCCGGCCACATCACCGTGTAAGCCAGAGGGGGCCATGGGGTTTTAAAACGCTGAAATTTGGCAACAGAGAAATGAGAAGGTGATCGAGCGGGGCCTGTGGCGTGGGGGAGGGCTGACTGAAGAATACAGTTACAAAAGAACACCTGATCCAAATAGAAAAAAGCGAGAGGGACAGGTGTAAAGGAAGTGACGATGCAAATCTGATGCACCACCGCCAGGTAGAGAGTGAAGTGAAAGCTTTGGCAGCCAGGGGGATTGCAGTACCGGCGAGTCTCCTTGCTTGTCTGTGTGTGCTAGCAAGTGAATAGTCTTTCATCTGCAGCATGTACCAGAGGATTCTTTGCTGCTAAGATTACTGTCTAGTAGAACACGGTGACTGCTCTGACATGTGACAACACCTATACTTGGATTCTTCAAAACAGAAACATGATGTATTTCGTGAGTAGTAACATAGAATACTCACCCACCCACATATTCATCTTTCCATTCTCTCTGTCCAATTCCTACATGAATGAATGCAATGCTCCTTTCCATGTCCTGTCTTAATCACCCTCTCTCTGACATTCCTTAAATATCAAGACAGCTAGGAAAAGTACAAATGGCAATGAATTTACAGCGAGGACTCTTAAATCTTATTTCTACTGTTGTTTCTTACTGGTCCTGTGACATTACTCAGATGACTTCCCATTTCTTTACTTTCATTTCTCCGTCTCTAAAATGACAAATTTCAGGTAAATGGTTTCTAAAGCCTTTCAGCTCTGAGATTATTTAAGATACCTCCAGGAGATTTTCTATGCCTTAATATTAAATATGCAAACGTTAAATATATCTATATGGAAATCACTTCCCCAGAACCTAAAGATGATTTCTTGAAAATTGATGCCGAGTGACTTTTTTACAAAATGAAATCTTCGAAAATATTTGAGAAAATTAAAGTGGGATAGACCTTACACCATACTAATTACAAAGCGTAAAAAAATGTTAGTGTTTCTTTGTGTCCTGAGGTGCACTTTCTCATTTTTATGTGCTTGGCTATTAAAACTTGGAAGTTCTTCCTCTTAACTCTGCTATCTTTTACTGCTCTTGCCAAATAGAGCTATTTTTCCCTATCAATTCATGGTGCCTCAAATTTTGCTAATGGCTTCCTTAGCCCCTTTGACTTTCAATTGACTTTCTATTGTCTGAAATTTTACTATGCACCACCTCTCCACCATGTTGCCTTTTAATTTTAACATGTTCAGTATTTTAATTTTAATATGCTTTTGTGATCTTCGCATGAAATGTATTAGGAAATTTTTTGAAATTGTGGAAGTGTTTGGAGACGCTTTTAGACCCACTTTCTGGTTAGGCAATTTTAACAGTTTTTCTTCGTCCAAATATTTCGTGCATAGCCTACAATGACCGGATGCCATCTTTCCACTCCATTTTACTTCCATTCCTTTCATCACTAGGAAGACATTTTATACTCAAACTAACAATAATTCTGGCACCAAAGGTTACTTTCGTGCAGATTATTTTACATGACTTAACAGAAAAATGTTTTTATTCCAGTCCATGTTTTATATTCCAACACTCTTCCCCCTCATTATTTCCTAAAATTCAGAGACCAGAGAAGGATCAAGGAAACAATTTAAGTTCCGTGAAACTTACTTATGGTTCCATTCCACTCTTCACACTAACATGGTGAAGTACTTACCAACCTATTTTCAATTAAAAGCAAAGCACTGATATTGCCAAGCCCAGGCCCTTGTGATAGGTGTAATGTCCCTCTCAACTTAAAATTCTGGAATTAGGAGTATGAAATAGTGCTGCTGATACCAACTTTTGGTATCAGTTGAAGCCAAAACCTGAAAAGCAGCAAACCAAAATTGAACTACTAACAAATTTATATAGTTTGGGCAATCATTTGGTTTTATTGTTCTACAGCCATGCTACCCTGAACAAGCCCGATCCTGTCTGATCTCGGAAGCTAAGCAGGGTCGGGCCTGTTA